AGCGGACAAAATATACAGTTCCTCAGGTAGACAAAGGAACATCCCTTCACTGCTATTATGTAAAAATGTGTAGAACAGGTGTCACATGCATATTCACCTTTTTACATAATAGCAGTGAAGGGACGTTCCTTTATCTACCTGAGGAACTGTATATTTTGTCCGCTTTCTTTGTCAGTTATGTTCATAGTGCGTTGCGTCACTTGCCTGACCTACATTACATGTACATTAACTACGTCTCAGATGGGTGCGGTTTTTGAAGCTCCATGTCAGAACAATGGCTTACTTCGAATCATCGGGTCGGACGGTCGCGTTAACCGACTTTCTGATCACCCTACAACAAATCTACGAAAGGTCGCGTGATCTTCAGTTTTCGTTTCGCGAAAGGCCGTGTAACGCGACCACCCGACAGGACGCGATGACCTGCTGATTCGAAGTAAGCCCCAGAGCGATATTGTGTTTTAAAAAAGTGAAATGAACAGTGCAAATATTAGGGTGAATGACTGGTTCATATACTAATTACCTACATAGGCTTGATTAGCGTAGGTAATTACACAGTCGAGATGAAGCCTCGTGTGCAATATCGCGCCGTTAATTACAGGGTCTAATGCATATAACCAAAAGGAAACGAGAACTAGCCGATGAAAATGTGTAAAAGATCGCGAAAACTCGGTCGTTCTGTCCCTTTCAAGCGGAAATTTTGTTCGAATTTGTCCTCAATTAAGGAAAAAGTGCACCAAATTACCGATTACGATCTGATATACCCTTTTGATAACGACATTGACTAATTTGACAGGTTTCTGAGCTTATATCCATTATTGACTGCAGGACGATGTGATGTTAGTGTTCCCTCGCGGCGCCATTTTGCCTGGATACGCCACTGGTTATAAAGGTGAAGGCTTGATTTAGTAAGCAGTATATCAAAGAGGCATTGGAGGTACATGTAACTGGTTAATCATGGGTCGCATATTGTTTCTGATGAAGGAAAGGGGCGCACATAAATCCCGTTCGTTGGCTTGCACACTCATAATTGTTCTTGAGACTGGCAAGGATATAATAACAAGCGAGACACCAATATCCATTTTCATGGGAGGTGTGATGGAGTTTGATGTCAAACTGATACCTATCCGATACTCCATCAGAGTCCATCTCATTCAGACCATTTCTTGAAGAACGTGTCACACAGCAGATTGTGTACTTGACATAGGTCGAAACAAAATGTTGTAAGAGACAGGTTTGGAATGTACTAACACTGTTCCATGAATAAAAACTTGATATCTTTCTGGAATTGTAGTACCCATATAATATCAATAATACCCATGTTATATAATATCCATGATATATAATACCCATTTAATATCCATGATTATGATCAATTTCATTAACTATTTTGTGCTTTGCATATATTTAGGGTGAACAAAGTATGTCGGTAAAATTGTCCAGGTTTTCTCCACTCGTTTTCCAAGACTTTACTCTCAAGTTTGTGGGGTCAAGCAAGAAATTTAAGACGTTTGATCATGGTTATTGTTGTAGTTCGCTACTGTGAAATGAGTTAAAATTTCAATACATGCAGGGCTGGTAAACTCCATACATTTGGTTTGTTAATTCAGTTATTTTGGTATCCAGCTGCCTTCGAGCTCCGATAATTTATCCTATCCCCCGTTTGATGACAAACACAGATCACTACGCACTTGTTTGTGAGCACATGCTCTCCTTCTCCTCCACTCTTGCTAGCCTCTGAACGACCTTACATGTCTATCATCTTGATCAGTTGACGAAGCGACATGACACGATAGAACAGAGATCCCTTCTCCCCCCTCTCATTTTGTCCCTCTCTCTCTATATATATTGAGCGCCAATATCTTGCCTGTCAACTCTGGTGATGAACAGTTCAAACTCATGGCACCTCAGGTTTACACGCTTCGAATGACTTTCGTCTCTTCTGCTTGTTTATCCTTCGATTCGAGAGGCCTACTTAAAGTGAAACGCGCTCGAAACCTCCGAACGTCGATCTACATTATTAAAACGATTTTGTAGAAAGAGCAGTTTTCACAGTAAGAAGTGGATAATTGGTACTAAAAACAAGGGACTGACTTCAATCAGGCTGACACTTCGGAAGGTATACAAGGTTATAAATATATTATAATTGTGAACTCTCAAGTTTTGCCCCCCCCCCACCTCTCCTAAAAATGCCCAGGTTGACAACAATTTTTTACTACAACTTTCACTAGAAAGGCCATCATGACCATGATATGCGAAATGAAACGGTTAAATGCAGTTAACATTCTCCATTAGAAAAATAGGCAGCCATTCTAGAGGCATACATACCCCTGACACCCCCCCCCCCCCAAACAACAACAAAGAAAAAATGGCGGATGCGCATCCAGCTTTATACAGTATACGATCTCAAATGTTTCTAACTGTTATTACACACATGGAGACATTCGTTATAACCGTAATTAAAAAGTCACATTGCACAATAGTTCCCTGTAATTCATGAGAAAGTCAATAATGTGCAATTGTGCATGTTTTTAGAAATTGGCAGCTGGAATTAAGGACGAGAAATGTCCTCTCCGACGACAGATCAATCTTACCTTCCACCCACACAGTACAGATATAGCGTTTATTGAATATGATATGTCAAATATACATGCAGTATAATACTAAACTCACATTTATTGATACACGAAGGCATTCAAGATAATTATGTTGGTCGGAGAACTGATAAGAGTTTACATGACATAATATGCAATCACACTGTTTACGGGTAAACAATTATTGGTAATATTGGTAATATACTAGGTAAGATTGATGTGACGTGAATGCTGTAGACATGCGTGTCAATACCAGTAAATGATAGGCCTACACATTGGACTGGCCTCACCGTTGTTTAATCGTAACCAAAACTCGAAGGTGGATTTCAAATACAAACAAAAATACAGATACAGATACATAACAATGCTATACATAATGTACTCAAAGTCAAATAAACCGTAGAGTCTGATACATAAATATATAAATAACAATGTGCTTTTTTTCTTCTAGCGACCTTCCAAGTTCCCTCCTCTTCAACAGTTTTCTTTCAATACACGTCTTACGAGCACATCCCCCGCCCACTCTTCTTCCTCAACTTTCTGTCCTATCCACCGTTTTCTTTACACCTGTATATCTAGTATCTACTCTATCACTATTATCAATCAAAATGCCGCCTACTCGTAAAATATTGCTACACATCTCGTCTTTGTACCTGGAATTATACTGGAAATCGAGATGTCTCATATAAAGTCATAATAGTTGAAAGATTTGGTAAATAGCAAATTTGTTGATACGTTTAGAAACATCTCAAATTTCACACAGCACATGCTGCATTCTGTGCCCCACCCCAAGCCTCTGTAGGCCTATTGGATATGCTTTTCATCAATACAGATGTCTTTTTGTTGTCTGTTAATAGTCCAATCATGGCAGGAGGGAAGGAGGGAACGTCTGGCGGGAGGAAACTCACAGGTGTGGAAGTTTGCTCAAGATGTTTGCTCGTGCATTTCTACGTATTCCTAAGCTGTGAAAAGGTTCAAATCAGGATTAGGGGGCCAGTCCTGGGCTTTGTCCCGGTCAATGGGTAACAATGTATCCCCGTTGGTATGTTTACTGGGTCAACGCAAGGCCTCCGATCCCTATACATACTTGAGACCAGTTTGCGTTGGGTAAATGCTAATTGTTGGTATAGCCTTCGTGCTTTTCAGTACTCACGAAAAGCTCTCACTATTCATGGGGATGAATCGACCATAATTACGTCGAAGAAGCGGGTATTGTAAGGGGTCATAACCAAATGTTATATTATAGGCCTACATTAGGCCGTTCAATTAATGTGCGAGGTTATATCGAGCTTCTCAAGAATATAAATTAATGTAAGTCATGTTAACCTTTATCTCACCGGTTATTGACCCATCCAATGTTCTGCAACAGCAACAGCAACAGCAACATTTTCATTATCTTTGCTTTATTCTTGGTGAATTTTTGAATATATATATATCTAGATCCTATACCAGAATCGTATTTGCCTTAATTCAATCAACTCTTGGGATTAATGAGTCTGAACTCACGAATGACAAAGCTGCACTCGTTATATAGGACACATGACGCTTCCCCATCTGTTTTTCCCTCTTTTGTTTGAGTTTTTTTTCCCGCCCGCCATATGGAAATCTCGCGTTGAACGTAAGACTGTACTTCTGCCTGCGAAGCACGGGGGAATATAGCCACAGTCAATGAAAAGAGCATTTTAGATCAAACGTCGAGAATAAATATTGATCGAAACATTATGCACATGAGATAAAAAGGCAAGTTTAGCTTCCTGTGCACTTTAAACTTTGTACTTACTGAAAGGCTTTGTTCGACTGTGTAATGGGTACACGTGTCTTCAGGCAGCTGCAACATAGCTCATTATCAGATTCGGCATGAAACAATTATAACTCGTATGATTTGAAGATGGATAATTATTGTATGGCACACATTGTCAATTATGATGAATGGGGGCGGGCAGACGTAATGTATTCGCCGCGAATTAGCTTAAGTTCGTCAATAATTCAATCAACTACTAGTTTATCATTCAGGTCGAATATTGTCGAACAATTCTAAAATCAAAAGGCTCTATAGTTTCACAGACGATTCGTCGAGTTTAAGTAGAATCATCTTCTCGTTCGTAAACGAGACGTGGGCGTGCATTGATGTCTCTCGCTTGAGATACACGAGCTATTCCTGAAAATCAGGCAGTCTGGCTTCCCCTCAACCCGTACCGTTTCTAATAGATGCACAGACAGGCAATCCATCTGGTGACTCAGTTTAAAGTAACACAAATCACTACGAGGCTATTATAGAAACATGAAGAAGAACATCATTACTATCGAAAACATTTTTCGTCCTGGAAGTATAGCGCTTCCAACCATAAAATCAGGTACTAACATGGACTCGTTAATGGATTTAACCCTACTAGAACCCTTTTAGCTTACCTATCCATAACCAGGGGTCGTTCTCGAAGACAGGTTGCATTTCAGGAGGCATTGCTGGGTATCAACATGTAGACACTAATGATGGTTGCATGCTGGTGCTCTTACAACATACGAGAGAGAAATGTCACATTGGTCGTCTTCTCGCAACAGTTCCTCTTCAAATGAATACTAACTGCTGATGAGTGGTGTAACTTATGACCCGTGGCGGCGCTGCTCTAATCTTCGTCCTTTAGGGTAAGAAGGGCTCGTGCGGACCCTCCTACCATGGTAGGCCCATGCTCCTACCAGCTCGACTCAACCCTCTTTTCTCGTAGTTATCATAAACAATTTGATGGTGCATTTATGACGGGACTTCCATTTGTGTCTCGTTACATGAAATACCGCTATTTTACGACACCACTTTTGAGATATAATGTTAATTATAAAGCTAAATAAATTCTAATTTAGATGAAAGTAATATCTAACTATCACTAAACAGTGCGAGTCTTCTCAAGTTATAGTTCTATGTTGGCGCCAATCACAACTGGAGGAAGGGTGGGGGATGCATTCAATAACTTATCCACATTATTGCTACTAACATCAAAAGTCAAAAGATTATGAATAACGTTCATCTCCATCAAACAATTGAGTAATACTTGTATATATTGGAGATCAATGAAGCATAATTCCTGGATTTTCTTCCATAATGTTCTTTCTGAGAGAAAGGTTATAGCATCAAAGAGATCAACTTTGATGATTTTGATTGACAGGCCATTAACGCATTAGATAATGGGAATACCATGTGACAAGCAAAAGTCTGAGGGATTGTATTGTCAGAGAATGGTGTTACAAAACTTATTTTAATATTTTTTTTCAGAAAGTTCTCGTTTCATTTCAGTATATTCCTGATATCCCTCTGCAAACGAATTTTTCATGTAATATCACGAAATACATTTAATGACTTGCAATTGGCATCAATGATAAATATAAAGCTTCAGCCCATAAGATTTCTAACACGTTAAGTGAAGAGGCCTATACGCTTGAAAACGATAAAAGTCGCGAGTAGTATATGCAATTAGAAGCCTCGTTTCTAATGCACAGCTCACATATTTTTACTAGGAGATTTTAAACAAATTGTAATTGAAAAATATTGACCCCATTTGAAAAATACTAAGGCTAAAATAATTGAGTCAGGTAAAACTTTACATTACATCCAACACAAATTCTCATCACAGATTGGTTTAATAATTGTCCATGTTTGGTGCCTCTTCATGAGTCAATTTGTTTATACTAACGTTTCATAATGAACAGTACAAGTAAATAAGTAAATAAAACAGTTTTATTTGTCCAATCCATGTTTACATAGTAAATTTGCACCCACGTCATCCGATAGGGGAGGTAACATTTTCGTCAACAAGTCAAAAGGGTGTTTGTTCTACAGAAAAGGGCTCATTAGTATTCAAAATACTAGCGTAGACATAAAAATTCACTTGTCATTTGGAAAGGAGTCCTTGGAAATTATACTGCCTCACAACGATTTTGAAATGAATGCATACAGATGGGCAGATTTTAAAAACAACAAGAAATGTGAAAGTTGAAATAATGCATGATGTCTGCTTTTATGCCTGGGGCTGACGTGACCGTGGTATGAATAATGAATAATGTATTACGGTGTTAACTACTAAGACGTGTATAATATGTATGTACGACTTGCAGCATATTAGATATAGACAGTAGAGAAATAAAATTCATATTTTTCTTTCGCCCATCTTGCTAAAGCACTTCTTTAAGTTGTCGAGGCATTGAACCATATGGACTTATAGATTAGATAAACCAAATTTAACCTTTTACTAAACTCAAAGAGTAAAGTCTTACATTGATATAATACCTATAATTAAAAATGTGTGATATATACAAACAATTCAAAAGGTGTGATAATATACAAACAATTTTATGGTCACTAGCTCCCAGATTGCTCAGGGTTGCGCTTCAAGAGGAATAAGATAATTTGTCAATACTATTCAATAACTGTTCAAATTGGATATAATCACCTGATTCTAAAGAGTGTTCTTTAAATAGAAATTCTCGTACAAGTCCTTGTCCTCGCTCCTCTTCACTTCTATACCACTTCCGCTGTTTCTCTTATTCAAGATAAACCACACATTTTACCCACTGATATCAACCAACAAAATCAATAGAACGTTATTAACGCATGTTTGCATCTCAATAAAAAACCAGTTCTTCTATAAAGCGGGCTCTTTTGTATTTCTAGCTTACGCTTTTAGCTATCTCAGGCCAAATTCCCGCGATGCAGATAATTAAATAATATTTAAAAGGATATTTAGGCTTGATAGGGTAATGCATTTGACACAGCCATCGGTGAGGAAAAAATTCCACCTCTGATAATATCTTGAAATACGTGTGCATCATAATAGAATATTTCCGAAGTATTTCCATGTCGTTTATTGATAGGTGGAGAAATTCAACATCTACCCGCGAGCAGACATTCAAGGGGGGGGGGGGGGGGTTGCATGCACCATACACATTAGTCATATTCTGACTATCTCCACCGAGATCCTAAAAAAGTACGTGTGCCATTCCCTCATCGCTTCTTCCTTCCATTCTTTTCTTTTCTTGCTTTTCATCGCTTCAACACCACCATCATGATCATCTGGATCCATCTGTTTAGGACCCAAGAGATGTAATCTTGATGAAATGATTCTTAATCTTGCCTTGGGGTTCCTTTTTCAATGAAGGAAGATTCTTACAATGAGGGAGATGTGTCACAGGAATAAATATAGAAAACAAATACAGGTATCAATACATATCTTACAAGTAGAAAATTACGACATCATTGTAACGTATTACACATTAATTTAGTTTAAATACCTACAGAATACATTCAAAATTTGTCGTCAACCTTTGGTCTTCTTTTCCAATATACATTAAACATTAAAAACATGGGGTTATGTTATAAGCTCATCACTTTGTATAGCCCCTACATTAACATTAATTTGTTTGTAGTCTAATTTTATTCTGTATTTCTGCCTTGTTCTTTTTTATTCCCCCCTTAATGTTTATTATGTCATTTATGTGTTGAATAATTTCTATGTTTATCGTGTATATTGTTTTGTTATGTTAAAGGAAATGTGGAAATAAATCAATTAAATTTAATTAAATTCATTATAATGATCATGCAACAATACTTGTACACGTATTACACGGCTAACATGCATGGTTTTCTTTTTAATGTCCATCTCCTTTGCGAAAATTTAAGCGTTGCCCAATAATATTGTACACATATCATTGGAATATAGCAATATGACAGAGAGTAATGGAGAGATTGAAAGAGGGGAGGGGGAAAGAGAGGGCGAGAAATGTACAGATACAGAGAGACATGGAGAGGGATATACAGACACGCAGGAAAGGGGGGGGGGTTGAGAGGAATAGTGAATGGGGGGGGGGGGGGGTAGTAAGCTATCATTACATAAGTCATCTTAGGGAGGATGATGAAGATGATAAATAATATGATGCTGTCATATCAGATAAGTTGATGACATCTTCACAATTAGTCAGCTTCACACACTGCAGAGACATCGAATTATTCGATGACCTTTAAAGTCATGTGATTGGTCACATGGTACCTATAAGCATTAAACAAGGAATCAGTAGCAAGGACTTAATGTCGATAAACATTTGCATGCTCGCGTTCACACCAATCAACGCCTGCATAAACATCCTTTTAAGATTTTAATAACATTTGAAACCATCAGGGGTGGGGGAGACAAAGGACTGAGGGAAACGAATGTTTGGAAATTAATAAATCGAAAGTCTAATGTTATGAGAAATGACATTCGAAATCGAAATTTCATATAAAAATATTGACTTTTCTCAGTCTGTGTTGACTTGAAGTAATGTGAAATTTCATGGCTTTTCTCTCTCCAAAATAATATTGTAAACGAGCATAAAGGTTTGCACAAGTTAGACAAATATCGTTTGATGTAAAAATCACACTTGTTTAAAAATACTTTGGGATGGCATTTATTTACAAACAAGAGAAAGAAAAAAGAAATACGTGTATGTGTCTGTGAGAAATGTTATCGGGTTTTAAAACTATTTGGTTCTGTTAATGACGGGTGAAAATGAAATCGAAATGATAATATGAATGATTATATATGCATAGTTGATTTAAAGAAGCAAAGAGAAAGTCGTATTTCATTTCAAGATAGTGCGAAATTCAACCTGAGTGTATCTCACCTGCACGTTATCTTGTCCTTCCGTTTCTTTATTCTCGTCTCATTTCGATTACTGGTAATAACTGGAAGAAACTGAAGCTTTCGATTGTCTTTTCAGCATCCTCGTAAGGCCATATTTAGTGTGAAACGAATCACCATGGTGCTCTTCGCGCAGACGAACACCCGGTCGCAGTGGTGACGAATTTCCCGCCAAAACACCTTTCATCTGGTTGGCAGAGAGGAGAGTGGAGGAGAAAACGAGCGGATGAAAATGAGAAGATGGAATTTTACGAGGAGGGGAGTGGCACCTCAATTGATCGGGCTTCGAAAAGAATGACGCCGTTTTGTTGGCGAATATCACGGCCTCTAGCTCACAGTCGGGTTTGTCAACGAGGTTCTAACGATCCGTGGTCGTATAATATGATCAGCGCACACGATGCTGTGACTGAGAGCAAGATGCACAAACAGACTTCTTTGATATCGCATGGGAGAGTTTGAGAAAGAACACGCTTCAATGACGTGCTTACTGTATTAAGGACATACGAGTGAACATGCTCTCTTCGCGTCGTGGTAAAGGCTCAGATCGTGGTGCAAATTATGCCGGCTGCTTCGGCATATTATTTTGTATTTTATGTTTAATTTCTGTCATACCATGGCGGCCAAGCATGATTCAGTACAGAACACGCTCCGATGATTACTTATAAACCTACAGTCGACCTCAGTCGCATCGTGCAGACATGATGCCTGTATAGAATTGTTTCTTTAGAGCAAAGAATTACTAGTCACGCATAACTCCTTGTTCGGAGTTGCATTAATGACACAAAAAACATTCCCAATGCTGAATTACAAGCGTATTTTCCGCGTTTTAACAGGATTAAATTTATTATGCGGACGAATTTTCAACCTCGTTAACATTAAGTAATTAAATACGGGCCACTACTTAAATACTGCATGGTGTATTTAGGATTTATTATATTTGGAACACAGTAAAAGCAGAGCCAGGTATTCCCTTTCCCGAAATCGATGTGAACAATTAAAAATTGCAAATTGATTTCAAATCAAATTGCTATTTTACTTCAAATCTCCTCTTGGAAACGAAATATGAAAGAGAGTAATATAAGTAATACAACATTTTAAAGTCAACAATTAAGTCCAGTGGCGAAGCATGTGTCCAGGATTGACTCTTGGGGGAGCACCAGCATCATGGTTCTTGAATAAAGAGTGAATGAATCAAGATGGCGGGAGGCCGTATAGCCTTTTCTCTTCACGATCCAGTAATCCCATTTCCTCTTTTCACCTCTCATTTTCTTGTCCCCCTTTTCCGCCAATGCTTTGTGGGCATGTTC